ATTTAACGTCACCTCGGCAATATTTCAACCATATAGTGACGAGAAATGTTAAAGAAGGAAATTGTCCTGAAGGTCCAAATATCATCAAAAATGTTTAAGAGGGTTTCTAAGCATGAATCCGGTAAGCGTTTCAGGAGCTGATAATGTATGTTAACAGCCCCTGTGGCCGTATCATGAGCTTGATCAAGAGCAGTATGAAGCTCATGAAAAGAAAATATGTCATTATAATCTTCCCGTTATCTGAATTGAAAGTTTTGTTCCTTGTTGCATTTTAGATTTTGGAAATTGTGGATCTGTTTGATGAGGAAGAATGTTTTACCAAAAGTTTCTCCAAGTTTATTTGCTATATCAGATTTACTAGTTAATAATTCGTCTCCGTCTTTTAGATGCTTAATGCTAAATTGAGAGCCCTTACCTTTTATTTTCTGGATCATGTTCCATACCTTTGATAAGCAACATGAAGTAAGAAACGGATTGGGAATTCGAATCTCGAATCTGATTTTTTTTTCATATTCGGGATTCAGGTCCTAAATCTGATTTTTTTTCTTATTCGGGTTTTATCTTTTGCACATACGGCATCCTTGTAACTAGACTCTTTGCACCTTAATCTTATCTATCCTCCACGTTGTCGTGCACCCTCGGAGAGAGTTAACGGTCCTGAAGCACTTCCCTGATTGCAGGCATCAACCCTCGATGAGGATCAAAGAAATACGAACAAGGTCAATATTCATTATTTCATTCCCCTTCTCATGTACTAGGTGCTCGTTGCATACCTGGGTAACTTAAAAACATAAACAACCAAACTACAGTTTCCGATATTTGAACCTCAAATCTGAGTTTTCTCAAAATTCGGGTTTCGGGATTTGAATCCCGTATCTGATTTTTGTCAGATTCGGTATTTTGCACATTCGACACTCGGCATTCGGTATTTGAACTCATATTTCATCCCCTTCTAATGAACTAGGTGCTCGTTGTATACCTGGGTAACTTAAAACATAAACAACCAAACTACAGTTTCCAATATTTGAACCTCAAATCTGAGTTTTCTCAAAACTCAGGTTTCGATTCGAATCCCGAATCTGAATTTTTTTTCAGATTCGGTATTTTTGCACATTCGAGTGAGTGAGTTTAGGTTTACGCTGCACTCAGCAATATGCCAGCTGTATGGCGGCGGTCTGTAATTAATCGAGTCTGGACCAGACAATCCAGTGATCAACAGCATGAGCATCTATCTTCACAATGGGGAACCGATAACATGTGTCAACCCAGCTAGCGAGCCTGATCAGCCGATCCCGGATGTCGCCTCCTACGACAAGCATGGGTTACTGAAGGCCAGTTCTGACCCGGACCTTCACGGGTATTAACACATTTGGAATTTGGAACTTCAGCGTCCTTGTAACTATACTCTTTGCACCTTCATCTGTCAAACCTATCTGTCCTCGACGTTGCCGTGCACCCTCGTAGATAGTCGAACTGGCCCAAAGCTCTTCCCTGCTCGTATGGGTGTATGCACTCACTCTCGTTGAAGACCGAAGAAAGACCATCAAAGTCAATAATTTGAGGGCAATAATGCATGAATAGCTTTCTGAGATCAAAGGGGAATTAAGCAAGGAGGACATCTTTTGTAATTCTGGTAATTGGATTAAACATTCCTCCTTACTGCTCATGAGAGAATTTGAGATTGACACATTTGAGAGCAATAATGCATCAATAACTAGCTGAGGTCAAAGGGTCAATTAAGCAAGGTTTGTTTGTTTTGTAATTCTGTTAAATGTATTGAACACTCCTCCTTGCTCATTATGGAGTGTGATTGTAAGACGTTTATCCATTCTACAAGGCCAACTGTGGGCTTTGCTGATGAGCAAATTTGACATTGACTCATTTTAGAAGCAGTATGTAACAACACCCGCACCTCAGAAAGGTTCATATCCAAAATGGAGTCTGAGAGGGAGTTTCAGACGTCACCTGTCACCTGTATGAATTGTACAACACCAACAAGCGAGTATTGATTCCAAGACATGAATATCAAAAGACCGTAAGTGAATTGCTGGTGGTAGAGACAATATGCTTAAAGAAGTTACCAAGAACGTGCACAAGTCGATTTGATTGACATGCAGTCCATATGTCAAGGTCAATTCGAATGGATTATGCAATATCAGTACCATCTCACTAAGTTATTTGTGTTGAGACCGTTGACCTCCAAGAAGTCTCGTTATCAGTTGGTTGACATCTTGCAGAGTGACAATGGTTCAGAATTTACTGCTGCTGACATTGAGGATCCGGAGGGGTCACAGATGTGGCCTAGCACCAAGATCATACATGGTAAAACCACGTCACCCCCAATCCTAAGGTTCTGTTGAGCCTGCCAACTGTGATGTGAAGGACATGTTAACAGCCTGGATGTCTGACAACAATACCACTGCTTGGACCATGGGACCCAAGTTTGTGCAGTTCCAGCTACCACAGCGGAATCAAACAAACACGATTTGCTGCCTGTACTGGATCAGATGCACACACTGGGGTGATTGAAACACCGAAGACGGAAGAAGATATCATCAATGCCATAATCGCCATGACACCTCCTTCAGACCAGCCAGCACCAGATGCGCCACCAGTTACTGTAGCTGTTCCAGATCCTCAGCAGAAGCAGCTATGCCAGATCCAGATCCACCTGTTGTAGCAGATATGCCAGTACCAGATCCACCTGCTAAAGCAGCCGTTATAGATCCACCAGCTGTAGCCGCCGTTCAGCAGAACTCCTTGTTGCAAAGAGACGTCAGCAGATCAGTATCCAGAGGAAGAGGGCATTAGACTCTCAGTTGCGAAAAGCCGAGAAAAATGGTGGAAAGAAGTAAAGTTGTTCTGTCAGAAGTTCACGTTGGTGACAACGTTACAGTTCCAATCCCATCCGTGGACAGAGGTAGAGCGCAATAGTGCGAAGGCCCGGGTTGATTCCTGGTGAAGGCACCTATGTTCGGGTCCTGAGGTGGGCACATTTGCGTAGTATCCTTGGACAAGATACTTAGATCCACTTGTCTCACTTCATCCAGTTGTAAAATGGGTACCCGTGAGGGTGTGTGCTGGCAATGAATGCTTAGTTCATTGCGCCTAACAGGCAGCATGGCTGTATGATCTCCAGGGAGTTGAAAGAGTATCGGAATGTACGATAGTGTCCTATGACCGGGGAGAGTAATGTACGTAGCGCCGTGAGCAGGCAATGTGCCTGGATATGAGCGCCATATAAGCGGACTATTACTATTACAAGTACTATTAGAGCTGATCCCCATTAATGACAGTGGCATATGCACAACTGCGGTCAAAGCTGGTGTTTTATCTGGAAAATATTCTCGTAATTTCAATTTGATGTGTGCGCCACAGCTCCGTACACCTTAGAGGATATGTCTACTGAAAGTCTGGTCTCCTTACGCTTGGCAGTCCAGTTTGGGTCAGCCTGTGGTGGACAAGGCTTTGTTAAGTGCAATTGCGCTGGAGTCAAGAGGTGCCAGACAAATAGATGCAAAATGCTACAAGGCCGGTGTAAAATGTAATTCAAGGTGCCACTCATCACTGTCTTGTCAAAATCAAACTGAATTGATGTTCTCCAAAGGCGTGTTCATCATACTTTTCCTTTGCACATCATGTACACCTATTATGTTGAATAAAGATATCATTGTAGCAAAGAAACGTCTGTTTCCCGCTTAAGACAAAGTCCAATTTCACATCTTTTTGAAGAATATACCTCTCAAACTACACAAGTAGTGATTTCAGGGAATATGTCTAAAATTCTAGAACGCATTTCAGTTTATGTATAATCCCTGCAAAGTTCAGTGATTATGTATACTTAGCAGCAAAGAAACGTCAGTTTGGAATTTTACCCTTCGCAGAAACGGATAACTGTGAACTCATTTAATGTTTCCTGAAGTGAGTGAGTGAGTTAATATTTAACGTCACATCGGCAATATTTCAGCCATATCGTGACGAGAACAGTTGATATTTAAATAGAATACATATACAGATATTAGAAAACCTGCCGACGAAGGACAGTAAAACAACTAGAATATCACAGATATACATGTAAAACTAGTAATTAAATCTAAAACATTTTACCTTTAGGGGACAGCACAATATAAAAATAGGCAATAGATCGCCAACAACTGAAGGTAGATCACCATACTAGGGACCATGGGGACTTACATTACTTTTGCTACCTGCATGGACCCTAGCTGGATTTACACCATCCCTTCAGCTGCTGGCGATTGGAAGAAATGTTAGCCAAAATTAAAAGAACAAGAATACTACGTTTAAAATCCTGGCAAGTTTAAATTGACTTTGAATGTTTTGGGACTTACGTACCCTCTCAGGAGGACAATAATTTTACGCTACGTCAACCCCCTTTAAGGGTACAGCCACTAACAATCTCAGTTACTAATAGAAACTACCAACAATATAATATTTAACTATTTACAAATCAGTCCACAAATCTAATTCTTTTAAAAATTCAACTATTAAATGAAAATTAACATTATAAAAGATCCTTCAATGTCTTGACATTAAAATACTTATCCCTTGTGACGGAATATTCAACACAGTCAAGCAGGACATGCTTGACTGTGATTCTTTCATCACAAGGGATGCAAAACGGAGGATCTTCGCCTTTCAGTAAATATTGGTGAGTATATCTAGTGTGGCCAATGCGACATCGTCGCATAATGACCTCTTCAAATCTGGACTGACAACCCAAGTAAGTGTAACCGATATAGGGTTTTATTGCATGTAATTTATTGATACCTACTTGGGTGTCCCACTTCTTTGCATCAGATCACGGATATAAGATCTTATAGCAGCTTTGTAATCAGAGTATGGGATCAGAAGTGGTGTCACAGATTTGTTAAGGGCTGCCTTTAGCAGCAATATCAGCCATTGTGTTCCCAGAAATGCCAACGTGGCTGGGTAACCAACAAAAGACGATGTCGCATTGGCCAGTAGCAAGTTCATTGTACAATTCAATAATTTCTAATAAAAGTGGATGTTTGCAAGAAAGATTTTAATAGCCTGAAGACAAGAAAGAGAATCTGAAAAGATGATATATTGTTTATATTTACGGTGTTTATTAATATATTTAAGAGCTGTTAGTATTGCGTTTGCTTCTGCTGTGAAAATTGAACTGTCATTGGGTAATCTGAAGAGATTGTTTTGGACTCCAATGACAGTGGCACAAGCAACCGCGCCACCATCCTTGGACCCATCTGTGAATAAGGATTTATATGTATTATATTTACTTTTAATTGATTATATTCTTGTTTATACTGTAGATCATTAGTTTCTGATTTTTAAATTTAGTGAGTGTTAGGTCCACTTGTGGCCTAAATCCAATTGCCAAGGAGGAGAAGAAAGAAGGCGGGAAGGAGCTATATTTTCTAGCTCAATGCCGGCAGCAGACAGGAATGGCTTAATTCTGTGCCCAAGAGGCGGAACAAGAGAAGGTTTTTGTTGTATAAATCCTCATAGAGGGATTGAAAACACAGCTAAATGCAGGGTTAGACTCGCTAGAATATAGTTTAGTAATGTATTGTAAAGACAATTTTATACGACGTTGTGTAAGAGAAGGCTCATCTGCTTCAACGTATAGACTATCAACTGGAGAAGTTCTAAATGATCCAAGACAGAGTCTTAGACCTTGGTGGTGAACAGAATCTAGTAGTTGAAGGTTGCTGTTACAGGCTCCGCCATATACGATCGAACCATAATCAAGTTTAGATCGTACCAATGATCGATATAGGTGGAGGAGGGTAGTTTGATCCCTCCCCACTTTGAGTTGGAAACAACTTTCAACAAATCAAGGGCCTTCAGGCATTTAGCTTTAAGAGATTTAATGTGCGGCAAAAGGTTAAATGGGAGTCAAAAATTAGACCCAAGAACTTGGCCTCCTTCACAACTTTGATGGGAGTGCCATTTAAAGATAGTTCTGGGTCTTCATGCGGCTTATATTTTCTACAAAAGTGTAGACAATTAGTTTTGGACTTGGAAAATTTAAAGCCGTTCTCAAGACACCATTTATTTATTTTATTTAAACACAACTGCAATTGCCGTTCAATAGTATGCATATTTTTACCACGACAAGAAATATTAAAATCATCCACAAAAGTGATCCATCGATTGAATCGTTTAAAACCTTGGATAAACTGTTGATTTTGATACTAAATAAAGTGACAGACAAAATACTGCCTTGAGGGACACCCTGATCCTGATTATAATGATCAGACAGGGTTGAACCCACTCGGACTTGAAATTGTCTGTCTTTTTAAAACTGTGTTATAAAAGAGGCAAACGGCCTCTTAAACCGAAATCATGTAAATCCTTCAAAATGCCATGCTTCCAGGTCGTATCATAAGCTTTCTCAAGATCAAAGAAAATTGATACAGCATGTTGTTTATTTACTATAGCATTCTTAACAAAGGATTCTAAGCGTACCAAATGATCAATGGTACTACGATTTTTCCTGAAACCGCATTGAATATTTGTTATCAGGTTATTGGTTTCAAGATACCATGTTAATCTATTATTCACCATACGTTCCATGGTTTTACAGACACAGCTAGTTAAAGATATTGGTCTGTAATTCGACGGATCTGTATGATCCTTACCAGGTTTTGGAATAGGGACTACAATGGCATTACGCCATGAGGGAGGAAAATTTCCAGACGTCCATATTTTGTCAAATAAGTCTAAAAGTGTGACCAGACATGGCTCAGGCAAGTGTTTCAGTAGCTGATAATGAATGTTGTCATCACTTCGCTGCAGTGTCATGAGCTTGCTCAAGAGCTGTATATAGCTCATGTAATGAAAACAGTTCATTATAGTCTTCACCATTATTTGATTCGAAATTAAGTTTTGTCTTTTCCTGTTGTTTCTGATATCTCTGAAACCCAGGGACATAATTTGCCGATGAAGAATTTTGGCAAGAGTTTCGCCAATTTTATCTGCAATTTGAGATTTGTCAGTAATTAAATTAGTACCATCTTTAAGATGGTGAACAGCAGATTTTGAACCTTTGCCTTTAATTCTTTGAACCATGTTCCATACCTTGGACATTGGCATTCGTGAGTTAATTTTGGAGACATAGTTCCTCCAAGATTGCCGTTTATTTTGTTTGAAGGTGCGGCGTGCTTTTGCATTCAGTATTTTAAATTTATTCAAGTTGTGGACAGTTGGGTGATGGCGGAAATATTTCTCTGCCTTTTTCCTCGCTTTTCTAGCATTTTTACAGTCTGCATTAAACCATGGCTTTCGTACATGTGAGGTTGTAGAGGACTTTGGTATACACTCATCAGCTATTACATTTAAAACGTCAGAAAATACCTGAATAGGATCAGCAATATCACTGAAACATTCGGGTCTTAGTTTAGATGTGCATAAAGTTTGAAATAAGGGCCAGTCTGCCTTCGAAAAATTCCATCTTGTAGAAGATGGAGAATCAGTTGGAGAAGTTTCTGATAGTATCGTTGGAAAGTGATCACTTCCACAGAGGTCGTTGTGTACTGACCAATCAAATTCATTAAGTAGATTTGAGTCTGCAAGAGACAAATCCAGAGAAGAGTAGGTGCCTGTCGCAGGATGCAGGTACGTGCTTGAATCATCATTGAATATGCACATGTCATTATTTGAGATAAAATCTTCCAGTATTTTACCTTTAGTGTTAGTATTTGTACCGCCCCAGAGTGGATTATGGCCATTAAGATCACCCATTATAATACAGGGTTTCGGAAGTTGATCACAGAGAGCTTGAAGATCAGTCAGGCGAAGTGTTGAAGAAGGCGGAATATACAGAGAGCATAATGTAAAGACAACATGAAGTGTAAGTCTCACTGCAACGGCTTGAAGATTAGTTGTAAGTGGACAGGGCTGTGAATAATATTCTGCTTAACAAGGATTGATGATCCACCAGTGGCTCTATCACCCAGAGGTGAGAAGGAATGATATGCAACGTACTGACGTAGATTAAAAGTATCTGTCTGTTTCAGATGGGTTTCCTGCAGACAGAAAGATGATGGTGCCAGATCTTGAACTAATAAATGTAACTCATTTAAATTAGTTCTTAATCCTCTACAATTCCACTGTACTATATTTCTGGAAGACATTAACTTTTGGTGGGTTGATTGGGGATCTACCCCGCACTTTCTTGGAAGGCGACGAGCTATGTGCCCGAGGATGGATGTTATCAGACACATCCATATCTTCTAATGACCCAAACTTATTACATAATTTGATCTTGTCTGACCCCTTTAGGGGCTCTATATTTGTGCTAGAAGTTTCTGACCTTGGTTTGACTTTTTGTTTTCCTGTTTGTTTTTCAGTTTTCTCAGGTTGAGATCGAGTGAGTGAAATAGGAGATTGTTGCTGAGAGAGGTTCTGCTGATCAGGAAGTGAATTTGCGGTCTGTGTTGACTGTTCAGGGGAAAAGAGTTCCGGAGTGTCCGTGCTGATCCATGTCAAGTCTGTTTGACAGGCATGTGACAAAGTAATAACTGTTGAAGTGTTTCCTTTGGGGCTGTTTCTGATGGTTTCCTGGCGATGGCTGCATAGGTTTCAGTAGTATCAGTTGACTGTGTCAACTTTTAGCTTCAGCAAAACTGATATTATTGGTGAATTTAATTCTGTTGATCTCCATCTGTTTTTTCCAAATGGGACAATCCTTAGAAAAGGCTGAATGATTACCGTGGCAGTTTGCACATTTTTGAACTACTGTCACAATCTTCTGTCACATGTGTATTCTCAGCACAGTGAGCACATGTAAAAGACAATGTGCAAGTGTTCACACCATGTCCATACTTTTGGCATTTAAAACACCGCAGAGGTTTGGGGATGTACAAATCAACGTTAACATTACAGTAACCTGCTCTGATTGATTTTGGTGGATTCGGCGCAGAAAACGAAAAAAAAGATATGTGTTAGTTGAAACAGTCTCATTATTTTTCCGGGTTGAAAATCTTTTACATATATCACTCCTTGATCCTTCATTTCTGATACGATGTCAAGTTCAGTCATATCTGCAAATAGACGATCTCGATCTCTTTACAATACCTTTACTGGTGTTCAGAGTTCTATGTGCAGAGACCTTAACCGGAATTCCAACAAACATTTCAGTGGACAGCAGGTTGGTTGCTTGCTGTTTTCTATTACATTCGAGCAATAGAGATCCTGAACGCAAGCGTTTCACGCCTTTGATTTCTCCTGCTATTCCGTGGACACCCTTTGGATATCGCAAACGGATTCAGCTTTAAGGAGTCTGATCAAGAGTCTCAAGAATCAGAAAACGTGGCCAGTAATCAATGGATTTCGAGGGTCGTTGTTCGTTGTCATCATTGTCGAGTAGACGTTTCTGTTTTTTGTTTGGGGTTTGGTATTCCATGTTGAGTTTATTTTGATTCGTCATCCGGGGTCCCCACCCACCACGGAGTATCACTAGGACAATGTTAAAAACAGGCGGGTTTCCAGCCTGCAGCACCAAGGATACCCGGATGATATACTCAAGCAGAATAATCAACAAGTGAGTTATTCCACCAGATTGGCCCATGAGCCACTGCCTTCTGGACATAGGACTCAAGGCAAATTACGAAATTGGAGTTGAACAATCAAGATTCAAATATATTTTAATGAAGCTAAGACAACTGACAAAAGTTTTAAAGAATTTCAAATTTGGTGCAACAAAATGTACATGTACAGGGCTTAGCATGACCAGCCGATTGATAGAACCGGCCAGTTCTACCACCCGTCTAGGTGAAGTAAAGGTCGAAGTGGTGTATTGGGCAAAGGAACGCTGTTCCTGGAGCCCTTGCCCTCAACCACCAGACTCCCGTCCTCCACCGACACAGGGGCGCAACCCACGGCAAACGGGTTGGTGGACTAAAATATCCCCCGGGTCCACACGGGGGGTTGAAAGGCGCTTAGCGTGACTCCAGCACCCACCACGAGGAGGTGGCTCTTTCATGGGTGCCTATCAATCAGAATAAACAAGGCGTGACGAGGCTATGACGTATGTAGAATCTGTCAGTGAGTCTTGAATAACGCGCGGCCTGCCTTTAGAACCCCCCTCCAAATATGCGCAGTGAAATCAAGCATATTTCGGTATCTTTTTGCTTTCCAGAACATTGTTCACTTCACGGCTGGCCCCTATTCTTAACCATGATGTTGCAATATTATTGTTGTAATAAATGTGTCACACCGACTCGCTCGGTTGTGTTCCCCATGACGACAGTGGTCAGGACTGGGTCTGACATTTGTAAGGCTTCAGTGCAGCGTTTGTTTACATCACAGAAATATATACAAATTCATTTCATGGGGACTTTTAGGGGACGCTCACGGTGAAATGCTCGCTCTTATTTTTTCACATAGAATAGGAAAGCCACCATTTTGGTTTCTCTACGATTGATTTTAGCTATCCTAAGTTGGTCATGAGCAACTTAGACTTTGAATCCCTAACTTTACGATTTGACTTAGGTAAGATTGGTTAGTGTGAACGGTATATGCCGATCGTAACACACTAAGATTGGGATTTTAGGGGTTTACGATTGGCGTAGGGGCTAAAGATCGGTTAGTGGAACGGCACCCTGAACACTGCTGCAAGGGTGGTTATAGCAAAACCAGGAAGTATGACCATATAACACGGGTCCTGCAACACCTCCACTGGTTACCAGTGAAATTACTGTATTCAGTTATAACATACTGGTACTGGTGTTCAAGTGCCTGGGTGGATCAGCTCCGTCTTACCTGTCCAGTTTCATTTCACAGATACTCAAGCCAAGTCGCGCACTCAGATCCAAAGAGGGGCTTCAACTACAAATTACCAACATCAAGCACAGAGACCTTTGGCGAAAGAGCCTTTGAATATGCCGGACCATGCTTGTAGAATGAACTGCCAAATCCATATCAAATCCCCAGACCACTCAAATTATAACTCAAGAAACTCTCTTTCAACCTTAGCTCTTGATCAGTGGAGATTCTTCTCGGACTCGGACAATAGCGCCTTTTTTTTTAGCAGCATTTCCCTGGATATCATCGCTTTACAAGTTTTAGTGTAGGTTGAAAAATCCCTGGTCCATATTTTCTCAAATATATTTATAAGTGTTTCCAGACATGATTCGGGCAAAATGCTTCAATAGCTGATAGTGTAACATATGTTATATTTGGGATTACACTTTCTCAGTAAAGGGAGTACAGATTCTAGTACTTTTTTCTTTGGTGGGGGTGGGTGGGTTGAGTCCCATCCGGGATCTGAACCCACACCCTCAGAGTCAGGCACCTAATCGCCAGCACACAAATAATATTAGAATAATTATCCGAGAAATGATTATGCCGATACACGAAATAAGAAATACACATATATATCGCATGCCTGCTGATGGAAAACCTTATGAATTTTTAAATGACTTTTCAAGCCTGTGTCATAAACAAAGCACCTACAGGGTTCTTACATGGAGCGTTTTTGTGCAACCATTCAATTTAGGTGCAACAAGAGGCTAGCTGTACCACACGTGCCCTGCAGCTGGCCGAATTTCAGTATCGCTGTGATCTCATTCCCAAAGCTATCTCATGCATGCAGATGTGCCCGTGCTCACGAGTCGTACCATGTAATTTATTTTATGATTTTTTAGTAATTATTATTAGTATTATGGAATATTTTAAAATATTAAAATATGGAAAATACTCATGTTTACAATACATAAATTTCATGTCCTACTTTTAGACAGAATAACAAGGAAAACGATAGGTTGGATTGTTTCAAATTTGGGGACCACCTACTTAGTCTAAAGTAGAAGTGCAGTGCCAATTTTGCTTAGAATGTTTTCATATTTGTAAGCGTTACAGCAATTTAAAATTTTAACTTTCATTTGTTTGTTAAATCAATAACTTGAAAAGCGTTTGATGTTTGTCAAACTGTTTTCAATTTTGGAAAGCATTTTCTTTTGTCTAAATTGGCGATGCAGTCCGATGATTTGGTTCCGATTTTCTAATTTTTTGAAAGCGTTGCGTTACTTCACACATTTAGAACTTTGAATGGATTGCTTTCAAAGTTGGGAAATCACCCTCTATATCTATAGGAGGGATGAAATGCAAAGTTAATTTTGATATTTTGAATTGCATCTCATGAACTCATGAACATTTAAAGGTCCCACATGAAGTAGCCTAGTGGTTAAAGCGTTCGCTCGTCACGCCGAAGTCCCATATTTCATTCATTACGTGGATATAATGCGTGAAGCCCATTTCTAATGTACCTTCTAATTACCAAATAACAGTTCATTTTCACAGCAGACGCAAGCGCCATATTAACAGCTCTTAAATATATTAATACACACACTAAATATAAACAATATATCATATTTTCAGACTTACTCTCGTGCCTTCATCCTCTTAGAAATCTCTCTTGTAAACATGCACTTTTAATTGAAATAATTGAATTATATAATGATCTTGCTACTGGCCAATACATCGTCCTCTGTTGGTTACCCAGCCATGTTTGAACTTCTGGTAACACAATGGCCGATTCTGCTGCTAAGGCAGCACTCCACATATCTGTGACACCACTTCGAATCCCATACAGTGATTATAAAGTTGGTATTAGACCATATAACCGAGATCTAATGCAAAAGTAGGTATCAATAAGTTACTGCAAATATAACAATCAACTGGTCACACCTACTTGGACCGTCAGTCTTGGTTTGAAGAGGTGATTATGCGACTATATTGCATTGGACATACGCGATATACTCCCGAATACTTGTTAAAAGGCGAGGATTCTCCTTTCTGTATCCTAATGAGAGAATCACCGTCAAGCATGTTCTGCTTGTCTGTGTTGATTTTTCCATCACAAGGGGTAAGCATTTCAATAAATGATGATGTATGTTTTGTGAGAGGGTCCGGAAGTCCCAAAACATTCAAAGTCAATTTAATTTAATCTTTTCACTTTTTTAATCGTAGAATATGTGATCCTGCTGGAATATTCTACGAGCATTCTAAAACCTTACTCACTCACTCACAAACAGAAAACTACTTTGCTTTCAATCCGTGGGACTTTAAGTATAAACAATATCGGACGTACTTGTTCCTGTCTGACGAAACCCTATCACCTACAATACCGCACATGTGCGATGTTTAGAATTTTATCATATTTACTAAAACACAACTTTCACTAGCTGGATAAATTGCCAATTTCCACTTGGCTAAATATTTAATATTTAAATATTTTTCCAGAAAATTTCCTCGTTGTCTTCGCGG